CCGGCAGCCTCCCGGCGGTTCCACAGCAGGATCAGGGCACCAGCATCACCCCCATCTCTGTGGCGCCTGCAGCTACCTGGATCTCCCCGCTGAGCCTCCGGGAAGCTGGAGTTAACACCTCCCCTGCAGAGAAGGCCGACGGCACAGCCGAGACCGACTCCCTCCTTTGGCAGTAAGTCCTGCTGGGGCCGCTGCTCCCGGGTTTGCCTGGGGCGGAGGGGCACCCCTCTGTCTCTCCCCAGTTCTCCTCAAGGATGGGGGCAAGAGGGAAACGGAGGCAGCCGGGGGCTTTCCTCAGCAGCGCTCTTGCCGAGCACTTGGAGCAGCAAGAAGGGAAGGAAAGGGATGAGCTGCGGGTGGTGGGCAGGGGAGAGCGATGGGGCAGCTGATGAGGAAGCCCCAGTCATCCCCGGGGTCTGGCACGTGGCAGCATTAACTGTCGGAACTCGGTGGCACAAGCGGTTGCAGTAGCCCGTGACTTAGATGTTCTTGTTTGCGTGCCTGCATGCGGGAGTCTAGCCTGGTGTTTCTCAACCGTGCAACTTTGAGGCGGGTGGGGAATTCTGGGAGTTGAAGTCCATTCATCTTAAAGTTGCCACGGTTGAGAAACACTGGGCTAGAGGGGGCCACCAGTAGATGCAGGTGAGTTGTTAGGGGGTGGACCAGAGCACAAAAGAAGGGGGTTCTTGTTTTTACCCCCACTGGCCCTTCTCCTCCTCCTCCTCCTCGTAATTATTACTGGTTTTGACCTCTGAGCTAGTTTCTTCCCGGTTGGAGAGATTGCTTATGTAAAAGGCTTCAGCCAGAGGCAGCCCTGGGCTACCTTTGTCAGGGCTGAGAGCTAAGTGGGGTTAGATTGGGGTAGTGTCTGGACAGGAGGCCCCTGGAATCCCAGGGCGGTTGGGTATAGATTGGAAATTCAAGAAAGCACCTGGAGGAAGCCTGACCTAGAGACACCCAATGCCTGTCTTACCCTTCAAAAGCTTAATGTGTGGCCCATAACCCCTCTGCACCCGTATCCTGGGGCTTTAGGGAGCCACGTGAGGTCGCCAGGCTTTTGCTGGCCTGCTCCTGGGCCCTGCCTGGCCTGAGCCGCGTGGCCGTGTCTCCTCAGCTATTCCCGGGATCAGCTGAACCGCCTGTCCCGGGCGGAGCTGGAGGAGCGCCTGGAGAGCACCCTGATCATCATGGAAGCCCTCTCGCGCCAGATCCGTGCCGGCCAAGAGCTCCGGCACCCCACAGCCTGGATAGGGCCAGCGGACCAGAGAGACACAGCCACCCAGACCCCCGCCTCTGAGTCCAAAGAGGTAAGTGGGGGGGGCAGCTTCTCTCCTTGATCTGCGCGGGGGTGAGCTTGATGGGCAGATCCTCCCATCAGCAGCGCCATCTGTTCCCACCTGCAAAACATGAGTGCCGGGAGCTTGCTTCTCCCAGGAGTAGCCAGGTTTCCCTGGAAGCAGCTGGGTGAGAGTCGTCCCAGTCCGTCCTTGCCCGAGGCTGCTCCTGAGTTGGGACCCCTGCCCCTTGGGATTCAAGGCATCCACCCCTCACCCAGTTGCCCTGCAGCCAAGAGGGGCGAAGGATGAAAGAAGCAGCGTCCTCCGCTGAGCTGCCCCCTCCCCAGAAGTAAACGTTCCTGGAAAGAAAGCGGGAGCTGGGCAGAGATTGGGCAGGGCAGTTCTGTGTGGGCGCAGCTGGATCTGCACAGTTGCGTGCACGCCAGACTCCTCTGCTTTCCACATTCTCGCCTGCAGCTCAGATAAGTGTCAGCTTATTGACTTCAAAGCAATCAGTGTTTATTGGGGTATTTATTCTTTTGGACCCCAGTAGTGGGAATTTCAAGGCACCCAGAATGATGGATTAAACCTCCTCCAGGTTGCAGGATCAGCGATGGGCTGCCGACATGTGTTGGGTTCACGGTTGGCTTTGTTTACATTGGAGCATTTCCAGTAGAAGGGACTCTTGCGCAAGGTGGTCACGTTGCTAAGGGTGCTCTTATTCATGGTGCACATTTCCATCACGTTTGGGATTTTTCCCTTCCCCTTTGCACACATGTGCCTGCAGACATGGGCACGCCCATTCCCCTGCTGATGAATACCCAGCGGTCTCTACCAGATGTTTCCTCTGGCTGTTTTATCTTCAGAGCTTTGCCTTTGGTGCCCTGCAAGGGCTCTTTCTGGCATTTGCAGCCTCTTCATGAACGGTTCCTCCAGGCCAGGCAACCCAAACTCACAGAAATGCAGGAAAACCCTTCTGTTCCGGGTGACGCGTAGTTTCTGTGCCTCTGGCAGCCTCTGCCGGTCCCTTCTCTTGCGCAGGAAGGGCTTCTGCGCTCACCTGAGCATGTTGTGCGATCTCCTTTGGCAGGAGGAGCGACTGTATCACGACCTGTACGTGGAGCTCAGGCGGCGATTCTGGTCTCTGCAGCAAAGCCAGGAGAGCCAGCAGGGTCTAGCCCAGCGGCTGGAGAGCGCCGGCGAGGAGATGGCGAGTACCAGGCTGCGCTCCGTCTGGGAGGGAGGACGGGCGCGTGCCCTTGCTTCTCAGCTGCAGTGGGAAGCTGTGGGCAAAAACCATTGCAACGGATCGCTTCGCTGCGTTTGAAATCCGCGTCTGGCGTCAGAAGAACCTCGCGGGCAACTAAACGCAACTCTGCACAATCCAGGGAAAAGGAGGCCCAAGGCAGTGCTTCTTAAGCTACTTGCCCCCAGCACCCCTTCCCACCTTTGAAAACTACGGAGGACCCCGAAAGAGCTTTTGCTTGGATGGCTTACGCTTATTGATATTTTGTGCATTAAAAATAGATGCATCCCTAGAATATTTATTCATTGAATTGTGGAAAAATAACAACATTAAACCTGTTAGATATTAATATAAATAAAAGATTTCTCACGGAGAACACCTATATTTTTTAACAATTAAAAATAATGAGAAAAGTGACATTGTTTTAAATTTTTACAAATAACTTCAGTATTTGGCAAATAATTTTGATTTTGGGGACCCCCAAAATCTACCTCTGCAGAGAGCGTGGTCTTCCGATTCCAGGCAGCTCCGGGCCATGGTGGAGGCCTCCTTCCTGCACCTCCAGGAGGACCGGCAGACTCTCCGCCAGCAGGTGAGCGTCCCTCGATGGCGGGGGGGGCGGGGGAGCAGCCCGGCCTCCCTGCCCTGGGCCAGCGCCCACCACCCGCTCCTCTCTTTCCCACCTGCAGCAGAAGCAAGCGGGCAGCCTGCTCTCTCGGTGCAGGGCCCTGCTGCAGAGGTGGGGCCGTAAGCGAGGTGAGATGGCGCGGACCCTGGAGGCGGCCCTGAAGGCGAAGGACGCGGTAGGAAGGGTGGCATGCCTCTTCCCCCTCCCGGAGCTGAGCCGCTGGCGATGCGGCTCCCCCCCAAGGTGGACAGCCAGCAGGAGACCAGCGAGGCCGCCCCCTTGGCCCCTCCAGCCCGTGAGGGCTGCCTTCTTCCCGAAGGCCTCTGTCATGGGGCTGTTGGCTGGCCACACTGGGCACAGGCAGCAGAGGCAGAACAGCTGGGGCTGTGCCGGGCGGGGGGGCTCCTTCCTCTGGCACCCATTTGCTCGCCTGGATCAGACCCGTTGGCTGGCCTGGCCGCAGAGGGCGAACGTGGCATGAGTCCTCGGATGAGCTCTCGGGGAGACCTCACGGGCCCCGTTTCCCTCCAGGCCGACCTGGTCCGGGAGTCGGTGCAGGCCTGCGCCGCGGCCCAGATCCGGAAGCTGGAGCAGAGTGCTGAGTCCCGGCAGTCCTTGTGGGCCCTGCTGCAGGAGGCGAAGAGGCTCAAGGTGGTTGAGCGGGCGTCGGTTGAGGGGCGGCTGGGCAGGGAGTTGCCCGCTCCCTCCAGACGGCTGCAGCTGTCTCTGCCCTCCTCCCCTTTGGCAGGCCGACTTCTCTTCTGGATACGCCAGCCACGTGGAGCAGGGGGACCGCCTCGCTGCAGCCCTGCAGGCCGACTGGGCCCAGATGCGGCTTGACGTAAGTGCTGCCTGCGAGCACCGCTCGCTTGCTGCGCCCTCCCTGAGCCTCCCTGTGCTTACGGGGGGCTTCTTGGTCTCCCCAACAGTACGAGGGCTGCCGGAGCGCGGTCACCAAGTGCCTCAGCGCCACCCAGAGGATGGGAAAGGAGGTGGAGGCTGCCAGGCGCGAGGGTGCCCGGCACCAGGAGGTAAGGCTCTTTCCCTGGTGGGGCTGGCAGGGCAGGGGGCGGCTCCTGCTTCAGTCCTTCCAAGGCCCGTTGATCCCCTCTCATGTGGGTTGCACTACAGCTTCAGTACCTGGGCATGGTGCCCAGGGGCCAGCAATATCGTAGTCCAACACATCTGCGGTGTCATAAATGCAGCTTTGTGGGGTTCCTGCCGGACACATGTCCCCCAAACTCTGCTCTTCTCCTTCCAGGTCCCTTGGCATAACTGTTTTCTGGGTTCTGTTCCCTTAAAGATTTGTGCTTCTGCAGAACCTTTAGGGTTCTTTCTGCCCCTAAATCTCTTCTGTGCTGACTGAGGGTGTAATTTTGAGCACCACAGACCCTCCACACAGTGAAATCGTGTCCTGCTTGCACAGGTGTTTTGCGTGGTATCTTTTGATCTGCTTGCCCAGTTCTGGCCCATAGGCCACGCTGCAGAACTCTGAGCTTCTGAGAATCCCAGGCACTGGAGGGCGGCCCCACCTTCCCCCCCACAGGAAATGGGTGGGGTGCACAGAGGGTGGGTGCCCTCTCTCTTTTCCCTTGATAGAAGGGGCAGGGCCCTCTTGCATCCCCTCCCCAGCATTAGTGCCGCAGCTGGGGAATTGGCCCTTCTGGAGAAGTTGGCAGCTCAGCAGCTCAGTGAAGAGGGTGGGTGCTGACCCCGTCCCCAGAGGGAAGAGCGGCCCTGGGCCCATGCCGCCGGAGGGCCCCGCTCATGTGGCTCCCTGCCAGCTGCCAGGCCGCCTCAGACAGGGAGGGACCGGCACACATTCGCTCTCTGGGACGTGTGCAGGTCTGCCGGAAGCTGGAGGAGCGGACGGTGGAAGTGGTGGAAGCGCTGGGCCGGGTGAACGAGCTGGTGGAGGCGAACACGCGGCTGGACCAAGGTGAGTCCCTGGCAGGGTGTTAGAGCAGAAGGTCGGGCCTGGGCCCGGGCCACAGCTGGGGGCTGTCGAGCTTGGCAAGCGCACTGGGCCCGGTGCAGAGGGTTCCTCAAAACTTTCAAGGTCCGCGCTTGGCCGTTTCGCCCTGAGCAGTGATGCTCCAGAACAGTCAAACTGGATTTCTATAGAAAGGTGTTGTTGTTCGGGGCTTAATTTCTATAGAAAAGTATGGAATCGAGTGCTTTTTAAATTTTTTACCCTTGCTCTGAATCGATAAGAATTGAGGTAGAATCTTTATTTTAACTTTGAACAAATCAGAAAAAGCACATTAGGTTAATCTGACAAACTCTATTACAGGTAGACCTTGCTTAAAGACCACAATAGGTACCAGAAAATTGGTCGTTAAGCGGGGTGGTGGTTAAGCAAGTTGAACCTGATTTTACAACTTTTTTTGCAGTAGTCCTTAAGTGAATTGCTGCGGTCATTAAGCGAATCACATGGTCATTAAGTGAATCACATGGTTCCGCATTGATTTTGCTTGCCAGAAGGTGGCTGGGAAGGTCACAAATGGTGATCACATGACCCTGGGACACTGCAACCGTCTAAGTGCAAGCTGGTTGCCAAGTGCCCGGATCGTGACCACGGGGGTGCTGCAAGCACAAGTGTAGCGAGCTGCCACCTGCTGCTCCCAAACCCAGCAACTTTCCTTGCAACCAATATTGATTCAAAAGAAAGTTCATTTATTGAGGACAAGTGTACAGTTCCAAAGCATTGCTAAGGCTGAGCCTAAGCGCGCCAAAAGTTGTTTTCCTTACCTTACCCCCCCTGCGCCCCCCTTAGCTCCTGGTCTCCTGATTCCCTCGCTGGTACGACCTTGAGCCTGCCAGCGCCCGTGATAAGGAGCCGTCTGCTTTCAACGGTTTCTCATTCCTTCCCCCCCGCTTTTACAATGGCAGAACCACAGCATGTAAAAAGCAATTTCTAAACTAGCCATCGTAACAATCTACTATTAAATCCTGCGAGGATTCTGACAGCGAGGAACAGTTATAAGTCCCTTTGTAACTTCAAATGGTCACTAAACAAATGGTTGTTAAGTGAGGACTACCTGTAATATGGAAATTCTCCCGCATAGAACAGTACCGAACTGGGAAAAAAAGTTTATATTTTTCTTTATCCTTTTATTTTAGTTTACAGTCTACCCAAAGAATCTGGTGCCATTGCAATAGCGTTATTATAGTGCAGTCCTAAGTAACCCTCTGGAAAAATGGGTCACAGTCCTTTGTGATGTGGAAAATATCTGGGATGGATGGATGGATGGATGGACAGACAGAGAAGCCAGACAGACAGACAGAGTTCTACCACATTCTTCTCACGTTACTTACTTGTCTGTGCATATATCGTGTTTGTAAGGCCGCCTGACTCCAGACAGTTCTGGGGGCCAAGGGGAAGAGTCCTGGCCGTTGTGCTGAGTAGTTTCTGTGGTTGATCCCCAGCAGCTCCTCCTGGCCAGCTCCTCTCAGGCGTGACTGTAGATGATGGCGATTGTAGGCTGACCTTTGTTGGGGGGGGCTGGCAAGTCCTCGGGCTCTCTTCTCAGGGCCTGCCTGCCAAGGGAAGGTTGATCTGTGCCCCTTCCGCAGACCTGCAGGCTGCTCTGCAGAAGGCGACGGCCTTGGAGCGCCAGGTGGAGCAGTTGCAGGAAGAACAGCTGGCCCTCACCCAGCAGCAGGAGGAGAAGGCGGCGGCCATCCAGGAGCTGCAGGAGGAGGTGGCCTGGTGAGTCCTGACATGGCTGCTGGCTGGCTTGTGCTCTGAGGCGCCCTTCCCCAACTTGCTGCCCTCCAGATGTTTTCAGCCATAACTGCCACCACCCCAACTGTTGCACCGCCTCTGTATGAAATGTCGCCAGGAGCGTAGCTCGCTGGCATCAGCATGGGGTCCCCTTTTCATTTAATTTCACCTGGGAGTTGTTTACCTAAAGGCCTGTTGAGGATACATGGCTTGATTGCTTTTGCTTTGATCTGTTCCTTGATTGGGCGGCTCTAAGAGGGAGGGGCCCCCATAAACGGCCCCTTCTCACAACGGCTGCACCTTAGGTGAGGGTGGACTAGAACCCCCCAGGGAGTTGGGGGTCAGGGGAGTGGCCGTGCAGGAGGCAGGCTCACCCTCCGTGGGTCCCAAAGGCAGAGTGGGGCTCTTGCAGAGCTTAGGGCAGTGTTTCTCAACCGTGGCAACTTTAGGACGGGTGGACTTCAACTCCCAGAACTCCCCACCCAGCTTTAGGCGGCTGGAGGTGTTACCCAAACCCAGCCGAGTGTAGTCGTTCACCAGAGCAGCTTTGCAGGGGGACATGGGCCCCCAGAGCAGGGCCCCTCCTCCCCTGACCAGGGAGATCCTCTCCTGCAGGCTGACTCGGGAGAAGGAAAGAGTGGAGCAGGAACGCGACAGCGCCCAGCGGGACTTTCGGGAGGCCTCGGACTGCCGCGAGGTAGGCGGGGGGCTGAGGTGGGGCAAGGCAGCGGGAGAGAGGGGAGATCTCTGCGCCTGCGGCTTCCTTCGTGTCCCATCTTGGGGCGCCTTTCTGCCCCCGTGCAGTTTATCGAGCAGGAGAACCAGGTGGTACGGCGCCAGCTCAGCGAGACGGAGGAAGAGCTGAAGGCCACCCTCTCGACTTTGCGGGAGCGCAGCACCCAGCTGGAGGATCACAAGGATGCGCAGCAGAAGCTCCGGTAGGTCCCGGGGCCCCTCTCTAAGATTCCTCGGGGCAGGTGGGCAGCCGAGTCCAGGCCTCAGACGCTCTTCTTCCCTCCTCCACAGGCAGGAGCTGGACTCACTACACTCCGAGCTGGCTAGTGCCAGGGCTGGGCTCCGGGGCACCGAAACCGGCCTGGAGGCGCTCTCCCAGGCCGTGCTGGAGATGGGGGCGCTCCAGGCCCAGTTCCTGGAGGCCAAAGACTTTCTCCAGACAGCACGACCAGGCGAGGTAGGACGGGCCCATTTCCTCTGGCCCGGAGCTTCCTGGGCACGCAGCTTCTCAACGGTGGCTTGTTTTCCAGGCAGCCCAAGCAGCCCCACGAAGCAGTGCCTGCACTCCAGGGCGGCGCACCCCCCACCGCTTGGGGGTCTCCTTGGTGGACAGCGTCCTGCAAGCTGCCTCCCAGGACGGTGAGCAATCCAAGCTTTGCCCCCCGCCTGCTGCATCCTGGGCCGGTGGGCGTGTTGGCTCTTTCTCCCTGTAGGTGGTCTTGGCCCAAGTTGTCCCCAGCTGACGGATTACAGCTCCCGTGTGCCAGAAAGCAGCCCTGGTCAGCTCAGTTTGCCCCCCCGAGCCATGAAGTGGGGGGAGAGCGTGCCAGCCAAGGGGGGCTGCTCTGCAGCACCAGGGACAGGAATTGGGGGGGCCTCCTTTGATTCCTACCGTGGCCACCTGCTTCTCCCTCCTTGCAAGGGCTCCCCCTCCCCTGTGCCAAAATTCTGACCTTGCCAAAGGAGGAAACCTTTGTCTCTTTCAGCCGCGAGAACCCCGGGCCTCTGGAGTGAGACCACGGCATTTACCCGCATCGCCCCAGCAGCTCCTCCCCAGCCATCACGTACCCCTTGCTCTGGGCAGCCCCTCTGGCCCGCGGCTTCTCTCCTCTCCTCCCTGACTGGACTCTCCCCGCAGAGATCAGGGCCTGCTTGGCCGCCAACACGCAGGACCTGCGGCGGGTAGCGGAGCAGCTGTGCCTCCTGGCCAGGCATCGTCAGGAAGAGGTCCAGGAGCTGCAGGCCCAGATGTGAGGCTTGGCATGGGCTTGGGTGGAGGCCGGCCGGCTGGCCGGGGGGGGCACCTGCTCCCTGGCTGTCCTGGGCCGGGCGGGAAGGGGCTTCCCAGCCCACTCCAGGGCTGAAGCTGTGTCTTGGGCTCCCTCCCTTCTGGCAGTCTGCAGCTGGAGCAGCAGCTGGAAAACGCTCAGAGGCAGCACCAGGCCGAACTGGACGCCTGCAATGCCGCCCACGCCAAGCTGAGCAAGGCTCTCCACCTGAGGATCCAGGTGCGCCGGGGAGGTGGGCTGCTTGGCCCGTGTGCCAGAAAGGATGTTTCTTCCCACCCCTGCAGGGATTTCTGCTGTTGGGCTGTTCCCCAAAACCTAAGGGTCTAGTCCTCACGGTTCTCAATAGAGGACTGGCTCAAATGACCTTAGGACTGGCTGAGTTCACGCAGGGCACTAAGCCACGATTTGGCACTTCAGCCAGAAAAGTCTCATTCATGCCAAGCTATAAGCCACGTTTATCTGGGTCCACTCTCCCGTGCTCGGGCCAAGCGCGCGAGGCCGGCCCGTGGGGCTGGGTCAGAGTCCAACAGGGAGCACCCTGGGGTGTCAGGCAGGCCCTTCCCACCCGGGAACCTCATTCTGGCCTTCTGCAGCCGGACGCCCTCCGGTGTCCTCGGCCGTGGGCAGCTGCTTTGAAGGGAGGGGCTGCTGCTGCTGCTGCTGCTGCAAAGGCCCCCTTTTCTCCACCCAGAGCGAAAAGGAGCTGCAGGAGCTGCTGCGTCAGCAGGAGGAGAAGCAGGACCAGCTGAGTGACCGGAGGAGGGAAGTGGGGGTACGTCTGGGGGCAGCATGGGGGGCGGGCCCCCTGCTCTGCAAGCGGCTGACCGGGCTTTCTTCGCCAGACCCTGCAGGAGGAGGTGGCCCAGCTGAGGCTGGCACTGCAGAAGTCGGAGACGGCGGCGGCCACCCTTTGGGAGGAGCTGAGCGGGACCCAACTCCCTGACGTCCAGGAGAAAATCTGGCTGCGACAGGAGGTGCCGGGGGCAAGGGGCTGCGCCCGGTCCTGCTCGTGCCCCTCCGCGCGTGCCGCCTGCCTCGCCCTCTGCTTTTCGCTGCAGGCCCCGCTGGAGCCGTAATTCCAGCCCGTTTCCATCCGGCCTCGCCGCTGCGGCTGCTGACCCTTGAGCCAGCTGCGTTCTTAAGGCTCCGGGGCCGCCTTCCTGTCCTGTCCTGTCCTGTCCTGTGCCTGCCGAGGGACCTGCAACCTCGTGACCCAGGCAGTGGTGCCTTGCGCAGAGCTTGCCATGGCTTCCGGGGCACTTTTCCTCTCCGCTCAGATTAGCTTTTTAATTGTGGACCAGCTGCTCTTTTCAGAGCTTTGTAGGAGATTTCTAAGCTCAGAGGCTAGGTGGTTATTCTAGCATCGTGCTCCCTTTGCTGGCTTGTCCCCTGCCTCGCTCTCGCAAATTGTTACTTGAATAGAAAAGCTGGTCGAATATAAGCAAACTTTTAGAAGAATCTTGGGAATGGCAGTAACGTAGTGATGGCCTGCGCTCTGGGCTGTTCTCCTTGAGCATTTGTATTCCCAGGAAGATTGCTCCTGCACATGGAAGCTTTTCTGCCTTCACGGGCACCGCTGCGGGAGTGGCGTGTTTTAGAAGCATAGTCTGCTAGACGAAAGTTTACTGAGCTAAAAATCCTGCCGGCTTCGAGGCTCTTTGTTCCACGTAAAAGGGCGCAGGATCACAGCCAGCCTTGTGCTCTATTGGCTTCAGAGGAAAGCTGGGCAGAGTGGAGAAGCCACTGCGTGCCAGGCCGGGTGCCCCCTTTCCGGGCTCACGACCTGCCTCTCCTCCCCTGCCGGTCGGGAAGCTGAAGGAGCTGCTGCTGCAGAAGGACGCCGAGCACACGGAAGCCCTGACCAGCCACGTGGTCCAGGTGAGGGGCGGGCAGGGCTAGCATCTCCCCTCTTGGCAGACCTTCGGTGCCCACCCTCATGCTTCCCTCTGGTTCTGCCGGCAGGTGAGATGCCTGGAGGATCGGCTGCGCCAAGCCCAGCGGCTGCTGCGGCACCAGAAGGCGGAAGCGGAGCTGAAGGAGGTGAGTGCCCGGGGCCTCCCCGTCTCCTGGAAGAGCGGCCCTGAGCCCAAACTGCCACTTGGCTGGAGGGTGAGGAGGCCTCACCAAGGACGGTCTTGCTGGACCCCCAGGGAGCCCTGCGGCCGGTCTGCTGGGGGCCAAGGCCCCGGGTTCAATATCCCTAGGAGAAAGGTGACCCCCCCAGGGCGGGCTTTTCCCCCCCCCCCCCCCC